ATCCGAGTCAAAATCGAACCTGTATAATGCAAAATAATGATGACAGTTCTTGCCGAAAAATTCATTAAAATTAATATATATAATGCATAGTATAAATATATGAAATACCCAATTAAGAGGGCCAGCAAAATTGTCTTCCACCCCGGGCGGCAGACACCCACGCAACGCCACTAAAACAAGTTTAGTATACTTAATTTACGCATTTAAAAAAAATCAAAGTACGTTAATGTGTCAATTAATGCCTATGATAATAAAATCCTACAATAATAAGTTTTTAGGTTTTACTTAACGGGTTTTTTATGAAAGCCAAAGTTTAAGTTAGTATCACTAAATTTAAGCTGAAATTGTTATAATTAATTTTGTAGTTTTAAATAATAAACACGGTCAAAAATATATATAAAAAATAAGTTATAAAGATTCTTAAATATCATAAGAATCAAATTAAAATAATATAATAAATTGGTTGAATGCAACATTTTGTTTTTCTAAACCTTCTTCAGGTGGGTTATTAGCAGAGGGCAGTGGGCTTTATTAAGCGACAGTACATTAATTCCATTTTAAGAACTACAATACAAATGAGATGACAGTCTAGGCAAGCCAACTCCCGCCGACGTTTCTTCCGGCGTCCATGATTTGCTAAATATTAATTTGCCTAGGTTTTTCATCATAAGGAATTTTTTGCCATGATATTATTACGATTATGACTGCGTCATAAATGTCAGATTTTTCCATAAGAGTTTTTTGTGATGTAAGAACAGTTATTTGATTAGATTTTTCATTCAGTACACGGCTTATTTATCATATAAGAGATGAACGGTGTGTAATCAGATTAATATCATATAAGTGACAAGTATTTCACATACGAGGAATGTTACCACAAATAATTACGTAAATAATATTTTTTGATTATATTTATTACGGACTAGATGGACCGGTGTACTTCGTATCGTCGTTCTCACCGTTTACACTTTCCCTGGACTACAACGAACATTTCAAAACCAAAGCAGCTACATCGGCCTATTATTTCTAGAATTTTAGCGAGACCGTTGAACAGCAAGAAACAAAAATTTGACGAAGTTTTACACACTTGCTAATCAATTGATAAACTAAATTAACACGATTAATTACATATTGTAAATTTCATTCATATTTATCGGAATAAATTTTGTCCATATTTTGGTTTCACACATTAAAGCTGTCTGCGCTATAAAATAATATATATAGGACGGAAATCAAATACTACGTCCCGAAAAGGCTAATTATTATGAAAAACTTAGACAAATTACTATTTGACAAAATCAGTGATTGTACGCTAACAATATAATATTACAAAATATATAAGAAATATACAAACATCTATATAATATCGAAATTATGGATAGTGTTTACTGAAAATTTACAATAATTCTAAAATAAAATATCGAAAATAACCGACTCATTCTTATTGGTTGTCCAAAACTATTAAAATTACCTTGGAAAAATAAAGCCAAGTCAAACTTTTATATAATTTAAAAACTTCATTCGTTAGAGTTAAATTCCAAATTGAGTGCTATAATTTGATAAATTGTTATGATGTTTTTAAAATTTTAGTTAATAAATATCCATATCGATAAAAACCTTAAGAATAAAAAACATATTCTAATCACAAAACACAAACGAAGTATAGTAATGTAGATAAAACAACATTTTTTTTTAATTGGTATGAGTATTACAATTGTTGTTTAAGAATACTTTCAAGAATCAATAATGATGTTTCAAATAACATTTTAGCGACAATACGTGAACATATAAATTATAAAATTCATACAAAATAAATTAATTAACAAAATATAATAATTTTATTAGATATTCGTAAGAAAATATGTAATTCAAGAAAAATAATTTAACTATGATAATAAGAGATGTGATTAAAAATTAACTATTACTATGCTTTGGTTAACTTATTGTTGAATTAAAAAAAAATGATAATTCAATTATACTAAATAAATTATGTGGCGTGAATGGATTGTATGATGTGTGATGTTTAAATGTAGTTGCATGTGTGAAAAATGCTCAGATTAGAAAATATTTAGGTACATATGAAATATTAGAGGGAAAAAGATCGATTACCACTGGCAGGACTAATTTTCGATTTCACTACGGGCATCTCTTCTATCTGTCAGTTAGCTGTCACTTTGACATTTTTTTGAAACTATTGGATTCGCATTTGTGAATTCAAATATATCAATTGAGTAGTAAAACGTTTTTATTAGTACAAAGAACATATTTTTGTTTTGCACAATAGTCTCGAAATCGAAACATAATTTCAATGCAATAAAACTTTTTTACCTTTATTTTTACGTTTTATTTGGTTGAATGTCTATACAGTGACAGCATTCGTCGCTGTACCCATAGCATCACAACGATATAGCATATAATAGAAAACTTTCAAAACCTCAAAATTAGTGAGATGTCATGCATAATACTAGCGTACCTAGCGGCTTAAATGCCACTCCGGGTGTTACTATCTGAATTTCATCCGTCTAACAATGTAACAAAATTTTAGGTCCATAATTACTGAAGCTCAACGTAAGATTACAAAACAATGGTTTCGAAATCAAAGATGGTGGTATAAAACATTCGTAGGGTGATACAATTATTATTTTGTGTGTGTTATGTTACTTCGTTGCTTTGAACTAATCTACTTGGCTCATGTTTTTGAATCTGATATTAATAATGTCTAAAAATTATCATATATTTGTGCTTGGATCAAAGTCTATTTGAATATAAAGTTGATTTTTGCTTTGTATATCACTTTTTGATCGTCAATCAAGTTGTATTTAAAAATGGTTGGATTCAACAATAAGTCATCCAAACATTACATTTATGACACGCTACCATTTTGACTAGGTATGTCACAGAACGTACCTTAACGCTAAGAATATATATTAAGACGACTCTTAACATAATGCTTTATGCCGCCCCAAATCGGCAACTCCTGGGTTCAGATTGCTATTACTTTTTGTTTATTTTAGTTGTCTGATTTATCAGCCACTTTTAATTAATAAGTATACGCGCAAGAAAGAATGCCTCTTGGTCCTTTATCGTCAGTTCATATGATTTTAATTATAACTTAAGTCAACAATTTGCACGCTTAACTATAGTTTTCTAAAAATGAAACTCGATTGAATAATAATGTCTTTTGAACATATAAAACGAAATATTTCATATTTAAAAATAAAAAGGCGTTTGAGTTTTGTTATTGAATATTGATTCGAGAATAGAGTATTTTTTTATTGGATTTGAAAGTTTCGTGGCATTATAAAATAGCTCGTATGTAAAAGCAATTACGTTTGATAATGAAATAAAAGCTGGGCTCAAATAAGTGTCTGTAAGAGTCAGTGCATATTTGGCGAAAGATTTGTCAATCGTCTCACGGAAATACGTAAGGTTGAATGTCATATCATCTATTTGTCATAGATGGCGCGAGTGGGCGTTCAATAACCGATGTCAAGTTTTGATATCGATATTGAAAACCGTTTTACAGATATCGATATCAAGGAATGTTTGTTGACTACTTAGCGATATATCAAAACTGGTAATTTGGATGTTTATATTCTATTTGTTTACGTTAGAAAGAGAAGGGGGCGAATATCGTGTCTTGGGTACTTAGACCTTACTGCTATGAAATCAAAGGTAATTTTGCCAGATTCGAGCGTTTGTAACTGAATAGTGGATATGATAATTCGTTACATCTCTTTTTGGCCTACGGCACGTAAAAGAGAAGGGGCGAATATCAAGCATACGTTATGAGAAAACGGATATATAGTTTGAGTTACCGGTACGTTATGATATTGTAACTTATATCGGTTTTCAGTTACATTTTGATATATGGAACTCAATCCTAATTTGTCAGTTCTGACCTTCCATGACGAACGTTACTCCACGCATATTCCGTCAGCTATGCATGAATTTGAAAATACTTAAAACTTTAGCCTATACAGAAAATAAGTTAGGTACATGCAAATTGTCGACTTGCAATGCTACTTATGCCCGTTTTCATTAACCTAGACCAAGCGATAGATTAACTAAGAAACGCCTAATCTTACGAATCGCTTAAGCGGATTAGTTTAATTCCAAATAAACATTTTTTTCTTTTATTCCTTGAAACATTTGTAATCTGTCATAGGCAATACTTAGTGCTAGGTGCCGCCTTGACGCCGCATATCATGACTTTAGTCATTGCTTAATGTTGTTAATGGTGTTTAATAATTGGTGAAATGCATTTTCACCTTAGGCGATTACTAAATATTTAGGCGACAGAGCTAAGCGACTCCTAAGCTTAATAAAAACGGGCATTAACCTTCCGTGGAGAGTACCCCAGCACTTTTATAAATATACAACAAATAATATTGAGCAAATGGACAAAATGTGATCACAATACTCGAGTATTCAATAACAATTTTAAGCCAATTATATAAATACACTACAACCATTTTTGTAAGTTACACCAAAGTACGTAAGTTTCATTTTTGAATGACGCGAAAATAATTTATACTTAAAACCTTAACGTAACGCACCAAAACCTATTTTTCTAGGTTCCTAATACTCGTACTTCAACGGCTTTAACGAACATTACAGATGTTACTAATAAAAATGGTAGTAAGGCATGATCATCATGAAGACTGACGATTTACATCAAGAGAAAAATCAACATTATGGTTTTACTTCAATACTTTAGTAGATGATGATGTAGATGATTAACCGTGATTTTAATCATCTTAATACTTATCGAATGGCGAATGAATTGGGATAAGAAAAATAATAACATTTTTTTGTGGGAGTAAATGTGAGTTTATAGTTAAGGCAGCGGGGTACAACCACATAATCCCCTGATTATATTATCAAATTAATTATGTTTTTGGATAATTATCGTTAATTATCAGAGGTCGGAATTAGGTAGAGTTAATGTGGACCTTCCCGGGATTTCTTGATTTATTTATTTATTTCTTTCTTTCATTGATGTAAGTATGGCAACGTCGTGCGTGCGGTAGTTTAAATTGTGTAAAAGTAAATAACTTTTTATTTAAAAAATCACGGGATTTTTTATGCTCTTTAAAATTAATCTCGGGATTTAAGGCATATCCACTTGTTCTTTCGCTGTATGAAATCAGTGTAAGTACATGAATAACTCTACCTAATTCCGACCACTGTTAATTATCCATAATTACAGGCAGCAATTGAATAAAGTATTATTTTATTTGTCTAAAATTATACAAACAAAAAAAAAAGTTAAATCACATTGAACAAAAATATAAATGAATAATTAAATATTTTAAAAAGAAGGCTTTAATATACTCTTTTTTTTTGTTTTTGTAGATAGACATCCTAGAATATTTTCTCTATCAGAAAAACTATATTTGATAGTTGTGAAACACGATTCCCCTTTAATAACAAGTACAAAAGTACCAACAGAGTTTTTGTTTTGGTTTATAATTATCAAGGTATAATAAGTCCAGGTAATTAGAATAGACATGATTATGCCAAGCCATTAGATGACATAACTTCAATATTTTAGTTGACAAAATTAAATATAAAGCTCGATATGTGGTCCACGAGTAAAGTACCTAAATTAAGTAGGGATTAAAATGGGAGCCTAAATCGTCAGTCTCATATCCGGCTTTAGCCGAAGAACACAAACCATAAGAATATTCGAGATTCGAGGTGCCAGTCTCCACGGAGATTGTAATCTTACTACGGAGGCATGTTTCAGTGACTTCATCACAAATTCTTTTTGACATTTTGCCAATATGGTCTTTTGCTTACCCAATATTTGTCGAGCTGAAATCCCACGCAACAATTTCCATAAAATTTCATTGCATAATTGTCTAAGAAAAACTCGACCGATTATCTTATTGAATATGTTTATCATAAATTTCAACCTTAAAAGATCCATAATTTCATCTACTTTTCTCACAAACAGAACTTCATTTTGATCACATCGTAGATTTAAGAAATGAGATACATACAATCGAATATAACACCTTCGAAACGTACCGAGAGTGATTTGAAATCGTTGAAGTGGATTCGGCAGCTCTCCGAATGTATTCATGGGTACGTGGTACTGTCTGCGCTGTGACGAAACGTTTATAGGTTTTCTTGCAAGTCGGTAAGAGTGGCGGGTTAGGAGTGGCAGCGCAGTGTGGGTAGGGGGTAAAAGGGGTAGAGGGTAGTGGGGCGAGCGGGGGCGAGGGGGGCGGCGCTAGGCGGCGGGGGGCGTCGCTGCTGCGGGTGCGGGTCACCGGGAGCCGCCTCGCCCGCGGCGTCCCGGCTTGCCCCGTCTGTTGAAGCCCCTGTGTACAATGCGCTTTGTAAATTTAGAGAATAATTCTTCTTTTCTATTGTTACTGCATTCATTTATTGGTTAAGCAGTGTTTATTTTTCACTGCCTAAACAATAAACCTAGTTATTTACATTAAACAAAATATATATTTTATGGATATTAGTTCTATGTTTATTTATTTTTGTGTCCTAAAATTACATGGCAATGTACAATGTTCAATAATATTGTCACAACAGGGAAGAGTAGTAACAAAACGAACGAAAGAACTGCTTTAAATATAAGACAGATCGTTTGCTCGTCTTAAAACGAACTACAAGAGCGGACTAGTTCGTTTAGGAGCCGCGAACTAACTAGTTCCATTTCAGATGCGAACTATTACGCCCAAGAGTAAAATCTCATTGTTTATATTTTTATTCTAATACACTCACAGGCACAATTAATCGGCCACCTTTTATTTCTTTAAATTCACAGAAATCGAATATGAAAGGAATGTTAAAAACCATACTTAAAGAAAAGAAACAACAAAAATATTGGAATAAAAGTTTTTTATCAAAGGATGCTTGCCAAAAATACCTGGTAAAACTTGAATCCCGACCTCATTAAGGTACTCACTGGCGGATCTTGCGGTATGGCAAAGTGCGTTGTCATGGATTAATCTGAAGTTGTCACAAATGAACGGAGCGAGAAGTCGGAGGTCTTGAAAAACTTACTCTTGACGAACTATCGAACACAAAAAGAGCGGTACGAGCCTCATAAGAGATACCTCCTTATAACCATTATGGACCCTCCCTTGTAACCAGCTGTTACAGTTATAGCGCATGGAGCAAACCTCTTATATTTGACGCCTGTAGACGCGTTAAGACCTCTTAAGGCTATTCTGCTCTCATCTGAGAACAGTACGTTCATCCATTCCTCTACAGTCCAGTCAGCATATTTTCGCGCAAAACCAAGTCTAGCTCTACGGTGTTGTAGGAGCAGTTGCGGAGTGCGAGCTGGATGAAAAGCCTGACACAGATATTTTTCACTTCAAAAAGACGCGTACGAGCTTCAGAAGCGGTCGAAAAGCGATTTCTCAACACATTGGTGACAACGTAACGGTCATCTCGAGTCGAAGTGCATCGATGTCGGGCTTGACCTGGCATGCGGGTGTATAAGCCTGTCTCCCGAAATCGTCTGATGGCATCTTGTACCGAAGTTCGAGTTACACAGAGTGTGCGAACTATACGACACTGGCTATACTCTGCATCAGCTAAAGCCACTGCCACTAGCTACATCAGTTGCATCGAGTGGCATTTTTTTCTATCACAAACAATGAGCAAACACTATAATTTCAAATTAAACTATATTCGCCCACAGTGGGGAGGGGGGGAGGGGGACTATTATAGCATGGTCGCCAAACAGAGACAATTTCTCTTTCACTCACTCACTTGCGCAAACAAACATACTGCTATTGCGCTCGCACAGATGCATCTAGCCAATTTTGTCACAGTAAAGTGAACCTAAAATGTTTACGATATCTAGTAGTAGGTACTAAGGTCAATGTACGAAATTCTTTGTTTTCGCCGCCCGTGCCATTTACAAAGAGGTCTTACCTATACGGTCCACGATAAACAGGGCGTGCATGAGGCGAGCCCGGAGAAGAGTTGTCATTAGAGCCGCTGCCGTTTGGTCTCCCGTTACCGATAGCGTCTGATTTTGCTCCTTCTTGAGCAACGCTTGAAGAACCATTTGTTGCTTCCTATAAAGAAAAATATAACGTTGGCTATTATGAAAAAAAAAAATACTTTAGTCCACGCGTAACTAGATGGCCACGCCATACATGTAGGGAGACCTTGCTTTCATTGTTCAATACTACATAGCACTCGCGCTCGCACTAGTCCGAAATGATCCGAGATATCGTGTCCGTGAGCGTTGTTGTATTTATTCTATGCCAGTACTACGCAACACGCATTGAAATCTTTCTATGTATGTAGCCGGTCGATTTAGATATAACGCATATGAGATTTCAATAGCAATAAAAATAACGTTGGGCCGGAGAAAGTTATAAGGACCGTGCCTTGTGGCGTTTGGTTCTTTGTAAGGGAAAAGTGAAGATATAGATAAATATAATAGGTATAAAATAAAACTGTAAAGTTTATTATTTTTTAAACATCATTGGTATATATGAAATATATATTTTGTTCATGATATGTATATTATGTAATAAATGTATCCAAGTTTAGTTTTCTTCATTTAAAAATCCGATAAACATGCATGCGTCTCTTTAGTTATCTACCTACATACTTAAAAGAAAAAAAAAACTAAATTGGAACTTACATTATCATGGTCAGATGGTGAAGTAATGGTCAAAGGGGGTGGTCCAGTATCTCCCACACCCACTACCCCACCTTTGGCCACTTGCTTGGCTAGTAGAGCCGCCATTTTTATTTGTAGTGCCTATAAAATGTATTAATTATTATGATAAAGGTTCATAGAGAGTATGAAAATTAATTTAAATCATTAATGAAATCAATATTTTTTTGTGTGTTCCTTAGAATATCGGTAGCATACTTTTAATTCTGCTGTTAGACAAAATGGTGGAGCAGTGACAGAGTCCACAGGTGGTGGAGCAGTCTTCAGGACATCAACGTCACAGGAAACTGGGCACCGACAGACAGGACACGTTTGCTAAAAAACAAACATTACAAAATCTATTTCCTCAATTTAACGGAAGTCATATCAACGCTATATATAAAGCAAACACACAGTAACTGGAAGAACAAAAACCGTTCGTAAGAGTATAACAAAAAAATCATTTGTTTAAAAATCTTATTTATCAATAGTAAGAAAAATGGTAATATGGGTAAATACAGAAGAAAATAATAATTTTAGGTTTACGGGTGACACCCCTGGTTTCAATAATCTACCAAAAATCGTCGGTAGCAGCTATCAACCGTTTTTTGAGCTACCGACCTATTCGTTTTTGCGTTTCACAATCAAAGAGTTTAATAACTAGAGAAGCAATCTTATACAAAAATCTACGTGTATACGTCGAATTAATCAAAGATAAAATATATGCTAATGACCGATTGAACGGAAAAATGTGTAATTGATACTGTATTGCCAGCTATTTAAAATTGTATCCCTTATGATGAATAAATGAATGAATGAACGAGTAATGTAGATATATCTATAAAATATTGTAACTTTGAAAATTTCTGTAATATACCAAATCGAAGTCGAGAAAATAATCTTACGCTGTCTTTTCGCCAATTCTATCGTTTACTAGTGGCCGCCAGCGACTTCATCCGCGTTTTCCATTATTTCTTCGCTCCTAATAGTTGCAGCGTGATGTTATATAACCTAAAGCCTTCCTCGATAAATGGTCTATTCAACACAAAAAGAATTTTTCAATTCGAACCAGTAGTTCCTGAGATTAGCGCGTTCAAACAAACAAACAAACTCCTCAGCTTTAACATTAGTATAGATAAAACATTTGTTCGAATGTTATTATATTAATATTACCCAAAATTCTCAGTATAATTTTTGTTGTATTAAGTATTCACTGGGTGCGAGGTAGGTGGTTAGAGAAACACGAATTGTTCGCAGCGTGGTGAAAAAGGAACTGTTGTTATAAAAAAGGCTACTTTTTAAAATTGTCGCATCCGTCCATTTTAAATAAATCAGATAAACAAGCGTAATGAAACTTGCTGCGTTAATAATGGCAAAAACAGTTATCGATGTCGAATCTCTATCTAATATTAAATTAATTTCCTCAGAATTTGTTATGCTCTGTAAATTAAGCCGAGTAAGTAAATTTGTAGTCCCCGATATTTTTTAATAATGCCGTTTACTTTTATTTAAAATAACAATAGTATAAATAATAGTAGTGTTTTATTCTAAATACTTGAACAATTTACATGTAACTCATAAGTTATTAATATTTACAACATTACCTAATCGTCATTACATCTTTAAAGTGCTTTGCTAAAATTCATTGTTTTTACGAAAATATTTTATGCTGCAGACAAGAAACAGGGATTCGTAACATTTGGCTCATTGAATTAAACTTTTTTATTTAGTATGATTTATTATGAATATATCCTTAATGAAAAACGCTAAAAAAGCCACTTTGTCCTTGGCACTCTGAGATGGGACTCGAATCCATGACCTTTCGCTATCCTGGCGACTACTAGAATCATTAAGCTACCTAATTTTTTAAGCGCTTGTTACTTTTTCGCTACTACAGAGCGCATTTCCAACAATGTTCAGGAAATCCACACAAACAGCCAAAAGAAATATTTTTAACAAATATTTAAACTTTCTATAATACAAAATTAAACTCTTCTATGATGTTAATTTTTCAACCAAAAATTTATAAGTATTTTTGCTTCTAGCATCAATATTATCATTAATTGAAAAAAGGGGTTTTAATCAATAAGTATGCATCAAGTCAATTGAATGCATCTACAAGTACTCATAGTCTCAATATGAAAGTCAACGAAGTCTAACTAAAAAACAGATAAGAAAGGGTACCTACTAACTAAAAAACAGATAAGAAAGGGTACCTACTAACTAAAAAACAGATAAGAAAAGGTACCTACTAACTAATAACTATGCTAGTAGTTTCGGACTTAAGTTGCTATATTGGCGGACCCACAGATATGACGAATCTATAAGAGTTCCAAGATTTATGCAAGCTCATTTTCATTGATCTATAAGACCCACATTTGCAGAAAGATTTCTGTGCTCATTTTCATAAGTCAGTTGTTTGAAAAATTTGAATAATTGTATCAAATCAATTTGAAAACAAATGAAGAAAAATGCCACAGAAAAATGTGAAAATTGTGTATTTTTTTAAGAATCCTTTTTTTAATTGTAATTAACAATCTAATAAATATTACTGTGTTTAATAAAAAAAAAGTGTATAAACTGATGTAACGTGTATAAGTTTGGTAAAAGTAGGTAGCAAGTTCAGTTTCATCAGAACCAGGTTTTTCTTAAGTAAATAGAGGTAAATCATCAAGTCTTTCAACGGGAACATATTGTAGAAAGCATCTGGAGCGATAATTGAATAGTTGTATGAGCCGTCAAAGGTACATTGACATGATTACAACTTAAATTCTTCTAATAGGAACCACAAAACATATTAAGCTCTTCTAAAATACAAATTTTTCAACCAAATATGAATATTTTTGCTTTCTAGCATCAATATTATCATACATTTAAAGTGTTTTAAATTAATCAATAAGTATGATTATTATAAGTATGCCCCACAAAAAATATATAGCATGGAAAAAAGTCTATGATTTTTATGTAATTTAAGTAATGCATTATAAAAAAAAAGTACTCAGAACTTTTCCAAATAAGCTTTAGCTATGCTAAATATACTACACCTATGTCTTTTTTTATTTATTAATAGTCCGTACAAGTTTTGCTAAAAAGAAGCCGAAATTTATGCCTCACATATTAACATAATAATTTAAAAATGAGCAACATACTTGATATGGTGGAGCTTGCATCTGTTGCCAATTCGGCAGTTTTTCTAGTTCTTCTTGATAGTATTTCTTGCCAGCAATCAAATGATTGGCAAGACAATGGCTATGAAAATGATGGTAGCACTGGGTTTTGATGAACACATCACCATCAACAAAACCATAGAGACAAATAACACATTGACCACTAGGAAGATTACTCTCCGTAAGGTTATCACGGATAAGCTGAAATACAAAAGAAAAATATTTTTTTTTTATTAATTTAATAAACTGTATAATTGAGGATAAGGGGTGAAAGAGGCACACACTGGTTAATATATTTAAAAGATAGGAATTAAAGAAAAATATAATTCCAAAAATAGTTGTTACGGTGAATAGTCAAATACTGATCCCCATAGTGTAAAGTAGTAACTGTATTTAACAAATACGCTTATAACTTATTACAAACATTGTAATACAGAAAATTAGTTACATAAGTTTTATATTATAATAAGAGGGTGGTTTATATTAAAAGATTATTTTGTATGAATTTATTTAATATACTTGCTATTATTATTTGAGACAAATAAGCAATGTATAATATACAAATAATGTATTTGTACTAGCAAGTTCTGTTAATTAAGAAAGACTATTTTCTGAGGTAAGTTAGTTTATTATACCATTCAACTATTACCTAATTACTTAATAATGAACACTTTTATTTTGTGTCCATAGAATAATAAAAAAAAATGTTGAGTGATGCTGAATACCAAACATTATGATTTTGTAATAGTTATTTGATAAATGAACTTTAAATATTTTTTTGTTGTTTTAAATACATATTATTATTTTAAAACTGAACCAAAATTGACAATGTCCCATTAGTATTGGTCAATTTGTGAATAAAGTTTAATTTTTGGGTGTGGTTTTTAAATCTGTCAATACTTCATATACAGACACAATCTATTATTGAGAAAATTGTAGTATATGGTAGCACTAAGCATCAATATTTATGAAACGATATACGCTTACCTCAATAAGTTCAAATACAACAGGCTGGCCTAAACAGTCAAGTAACTTTTGTTTGATTTGTGAATTAATAGTCGAGAGTAATTGATCGTCCAGGCCTCTAGGATTCCTTAAGTTCACTTCTGGACTGCTATCGGGGTAATCCGGGGTCAATTTCACTTCCAACGTGATGCAAACGAATTGTTGGTCTACGTCGTCGCCCGTCGACGGGTGGACCACAGTCTCTATTATTTCAGGCACATCATTCACTCTTTTTATTACAACATCATCCATCAGTATAGCCTCTAAAGCTTCCACTTCGTCTGTAACCCTGAAAATTTAAGATTTTGTAACCGAAAAACATAATTCCAAAAAAAAAATTCAGTACTGGCACTTTAATTCACTTTTAAACTCTGAATGCACAACACACCTTTCGTCTACGGTAGCCGACATGATGACTGATTTATGGGACGCGCCTTTGTAAGTGCATTCAGTTCAAGCAGGCGCAATGCAGATGCTGCAGCTGAACAGCTGGGATTTCAGAGAAATTCACGACAAAAATCAATCATGATGAGAGGCACAGATAAAATAGTGTGGACAGTATTTGTTTTAAGGTTTGATGTGAAGGCAAAGGATTTTAGTATATACAGCCAAATCTGAGAATAAATTACATACTTTTTAGTTAAATATTGGTATGTATGGATGGTATATATCGAGAAAAAAATCTCTTAAAAAATTAATTTCAAAAGATCTAAGTTTACTTTTAAACAATAATTCGAGGGACTGATTTTTGAAGTTGATTTAATTTTTTTATTTATGCCTTGTTTAAAATTTTATATTTTCAAAATTATTGAACTGACCTTGATAAAACTTTTGTTGTTCCCTCAGTCGAAACTGAATTTATGCTACAAAAAAAAATGAACATTACTCACGACCTTAAGAATCATCGAGGAACACGTGTGCAAACATATTCATATTAGCACAAGTGTATAACGTCCATTTTGGGATTTAGCTACATCGATATGCAGATCATATATCTAAGAGCGTAATTTTCAATGACGTTTCCTCTGAGTGGCTAAACTTGTCGGCTGGTGAACCGTAAGGAGGAATTCTCTCACCTTTACTCTTCTCTATATTTATCAACAACATCTCTTCCACTATTTCTTCTCCTTTCCATCTCTATGCAGATGATCTCCAAAACACTTTTCCATCCCCGATACTCTGGACACCATCGTTTCCATAAATAGGGATCTGGTTTTTATACAGGAATGGGCTATTTTGTATGGTTTCTTAGTCAATCCAACTAAATACCAGGCGATGATGACAGGTAGTATCAGACTTGAGAGTAAACTTGAGTGGGATTGTATACCTCAAATTTTGTACGATGGAATACCAATTCAATTCGTTGATAAGGTAAAAAAACTTGCTGAGGTAAGTAAACGCATACACTACTCTTGCCACTTTCTCAAGCGACTCCAATCTTTTCTTCCTTTTAAAACTAAAATTATGCTGGTGCAATCTCCTCTGCTTCCCATTCTGGAGTATGTTGACATTTGCTATTTGGATGCGAATGAATATCAATTGAATAAACTTGAGCGTCTTTAGATTCTCGCAAATCGGTTCATTTATGGACTATGTAAATATAACCATGTCTCTGCTTTTCGTGCTTAACTGACTTTCTATCCGTCTTTGCCGTGATAAACATATGCTTTAATTCCTATTTAAAATCCTTAAAGATCCCAATTCACCCCAATACTTTAGTTCTCGTTTCCAGAAGATTCCTCTTCCTTACCATCCCAGGCGTCACTATGTCACATAATCTCTTGAGTTGCCTAAATGTAACACCAATTTCTTCCTCAAATCCTTTTCTGTTCGTGGTGTTCAACCATGGAACAGACTTCCCTTGAATATTCAGGATTACCCTCCCATTATATGTTTCCAATTCAAACTTAAAGACTACTTTCCAGAACAATGTTCGTATTCATGACACTGCTTTCATCGTATCTAATATAAGTATATATGAAGTGTATATTTTATGTATTGTATATGTCTATTTTTTTGTTATTTATTATATAAATATAGATATTTTTTTTGCAGTTATATCATTTAACTGCACTTCTATCACCCGCTTACATCTTACTCTCCCACGACCCCTAGATTGGCTGGAAGAGATCTCTTCCAGAGATAAGCCCAACATTGTAACAAATTTATTTACTCGTTTTTATGTAAAATTTTGAGTGCAATAAAGAGTATATAATAGACTGCCCTCAAATTTTGGAACAAGTATCCCTCAACGTACCACACAATTACCCTCGTCACAGAATCAAAAACGTTTTTAACGTACCTCTCGCCAGAACCAATTTAGGCTTCAACTCGCCTCTGCTAAGAATATGTCGTAGTTACAATAGACTGTATGCTCAATCGGAACATCTGGATATTTTTAATAATATATAATATTTTGTAAAGACTGTATCAGAAATACTTAAGACCTCTTAGACCTATATTTCTTTGTTATCTTTTAATGGGTTTATAAAGTTCCCTTGTTTCTGTGTTTTTCTCTGTTTTGTAATTTAATTAATTTAACTAATTTTAATCTTTAAGAATCAGACGTAAGTCCTAAATATTTTGTAAGCGTTGTAAACACCTATAATTGGTGCGCATACCAGAATCTTTATATTTATGTTCAATTTAAGACTTAGTTTAGTATGTGCACTGTTGGTGTTTCTTTTAAATAAATAAATAAATAATGATATCGCCTCTATATGACGCCCTATCCTTCTCTGTTACTCACTGTCTTTGACAAGAGCGAGAAAGATAGCCAGTATGAGATTACACGCCGCGGAATCCTTGAGGCTAGAATAAGGCTGGCCGCATACACACGTTTTCCGTATTCGATTTCCGAATTCGTTTTCCGTATTCGGACATCCGAATGCATGGATTCAGTAGAAAATACATTAACTGACGCACATGTTCGCTTATTTTTCATACGGAACAAATTCCGTACGTACGTTTCGAATGCAAGCCGGCGCGTTCGGAGAAACGTATTGAAAAAAACCTAATGACGTCATGCGGAACGCAGTGCTTGCATACATTTTGTTTGTGTCGGCGCACACCACACGTTCGGAAATTTGTATTCAGTATTGCGCAGTATTGCGCCCGCACCACGCGCATCGGACGTATTGTTTGTATTTGTGACACAATCGCAACACGATAATGTGTGAGGCAGAATCATTAATATTGGCTGTTGAAAAATACCCTTGCCTGTGGAATATTCATGACAACGTCTATCACAACAGAGATGTCAAAGATACCGACGTTTCTTTTTCTTCTTTATTGTTAACAGAAATGCAATTGCTAATAAATCGTCGTCCTCCATCGTCGTGCGTTCATCACGCTATCACTATCTGTACTGACGTGTATACATTTCGAATAAAGAAAAACGCACGTTTGCGCTAGTCTCACGGACTCACAAATCGAAATTCCGCATTTGGAAATCGAATACGGAAAACGTGTTTATGCGGCCAGCCTAAAATAATATAATAAAATATTGTAGGTAGTTTTCTATATATATTGCTGTTGGTTCGTTTCGCTAAAACTGAAGGTCGGATGAACTTTGGTTTTGAAACGTTTGTCGTATAGTGCAGGAAAAGTTTTATACGGTGAGCGGTTATACGAAGTACTCTGGGTCATCTACTTATGTATATAAGCAAAAGTATTAATAATCGTAGGTATAATTTCATAGGAACTAAAAATTTTAAAAATTGGTGTTCTGGGATTGTTTCTCATATTACCACCAGTTCTGCAAATTTTTACGTAATGATTAAATTTTTAGTATCTGTGAAATTATACCCACCGTATCTTTTGGTTTTACCATGTGTGAACAGCCCTGCGATTCTGTAATAGTCGAGATCCGAATTCGTAGTAATTCTATTGATTCCACTTTTTGTATAAAAATACAAAACAAAATTGATTGAATATACGTGTCTCAGTTATTCCTATGTCATTTCGGAACTCACTTCACTTATGCCACGAAACGTAATTACCAATTCAAGGTTGAGCGGATGTCGCTTTTTGAAGTGAATCCGGACACCTGAGTGGATTTTTACAGAACAGCAGGGCTGATGATGACGTGGTAGCTTCGGTTTGTCTTTAGCTTTGGCTTGGGCTTAGGATGGTGACTATTGATGATGATTTTCAATAAGACAATACTGCGAAGTATTAAAAGTATTGAATTATAATATATATAAAAAAAATTACAATTTTTATTTAAAATTATTTGTTTAAAATATAAGTACATATTACTTTTCAACTCCACTGATATTATTGCAATTACTTGTATTAACGTCGGTGACTTTGGTACTACCAGGTTTCGAAGCATTTAATAGTTTTAATTTCTTGAAGACGCGAGCGCATATTGGGAATCTGCAAAAAAGTTCACGATATATCAGGTTGCTTGAAATAGCATTATCTGTAATTTTACCACAAGATTTCCTAATAAATTACATTTGCCATTTATTAGACCGGCTATTTTATGATAAACTCATATATAATGTCAATAAAGATATTTAATAATACTTAATATACCGGATGAACTAAACTTGTTGCCACAAAAATTATATAAATCACGTTTAAAAACATTGTAAATGTTTTAATTAAAATATATTATTTGGAATATTTTAATTTAAAGATATAATATAGTTAAGTTATTGCACGCTGTTTAACAGTAGAATATAGAATAGAATAGAAAATTGTTTATTTAGCACCAAATTACAGGTATATAACATTGATAATAGAAAAATTCAAAATTAGGTACTAAAAAGGTCTCCGCTCAGCAATATGCCGCAGCGTTGTTTAATATGAGATAATGACGTTGTTTTCTATTTTATATTTAGTAGTTGGTTAGAGTACCTATGTTTCCATAATCTTTACGTTGTGTTTAAAAAGCATTAAACGTTTTTTTCTGTTTACAAACTTATTTTAATATTTTTCTCTGCTTACATTCACAAGTAAACTACAGAGGTTTTGATTATTTGAGTCTACTAAAGTAGTTGAATTATTATTTATTTTTTTGTGCTTAAAACTGTAAAGCTTTTTTAATGAATAAAATAATTAGCGTTAAAAACTGGCCGAGTATGAGTCAACTCGTAATTGAAGGGTTATATGGGAATTGGGACACCTCTTAAATATTTATTTAATCCTATTGTTGTTGAAGCGGCAACAGAAAAATTCAACTGTCTAATTTTCACGATTCATGTGATACTGCCTGGTGACGGACAGACAGACAGCCAAGTATTAGCAATAGGTTTGTCGTTTCACCCTTTGGGTAGGAACCCTAAAAATTAAAGAAGCCGCCGATATTTACTATTCCACGCGGACAAAGTCGCAGGCACAGCTAGTCAAATATAAACGCGCTATTCCCATTCAAGATAGTTTTTAAGAGGTAGTGCGCTTACTTCATTCAATTTTTTGTTTATTTGGTAGAAATAACTTTAAGTTAAGATATGTTATTTATTACTCGTTTTGTCCATAACTTTAGCCTACTCATAACAAAGATATTGTATGCTAAAACTCTTACCG